CCAAAAGCAGCTAAGAAGGCAAGAGGATTACCAAGTATTGTTTTTCAAACCTGAATTATTAATGGGTAAAAGTGGAGATTAGCCAATTGGCCAGTCTTCTATCTTTGATACTCTGGACATGTTGTTAGGATGGACCAGTCCCTGGAGAAGGACATCATCCTTGGTATAGAGTCAACAAAAGAGAAGATCCTCAATAAGATGGACTAACACCCGACTACAAGAAGGGACTCAAAGTCAGCAACCATTGTGAGGTTGATGCAGGACAAAGAGGTTTTTCTTTCTGCTGTACACAGGATTGTTATAAGTCAGTCAATTTTATTCCAACTAATAACAAAATAACAATTGCACAGAAATATTTAGTCTTTAATAACCTTGGAACTATGAATTCCAAAAGATTTTTTTTTCTTAATGACCCGCAGGCTATGCTTTAATGGCTTGAGTTCAGACATCCACCAGGAATGGCTCTGGCCACTGGAACTCTGTCCAATTCTGTACAGACATTTTTAAAATAATAAAAAAATAAAACCTTCACAATGAGTGTCAAGAATGCCAAGTTTGGTGGGTGTTCAGTAAAGTTTTGTGAAGTGGAGCTGTGTGTGATTTATTGTTCCAAGTCATCCCAACTCACAACCACCCTTACACAACAGTACAAAATGTACTTGAGTCCTGTATGATCACACCAGATCATTGTGATTGTTTTTTAGTTTTAAGCCTTTAAACACTGAGCCTCAGAGCTGCTAAGTTATTTTTAGGGGTTTTTCATGAGCTGATTTTCAAATGTAGATCCCAAGGCCTTTCTTTCTTCCTAGCCTTTCTTTGCCTGAAAGCTTCACTGAAATCAAGCAGCAGATAGCCTCTACTGACATCCAAGTGGTAGTGGCCCGTGAGGTACATTAGCCAAGAATTGAACCCAGGTCTCGAGGACAGAAGGAGAGAAGTCAACCATTGAACAACCAATCTCCCCTCTATTTAAGTGGATTTGTAAAATAGAGAGAGCTCTGTTGGTGTAGTCTGAGGGAATTGCACTGCTAACCCAATGGCCATACTTCTCTGGAGCTTCAAACCCACCAGAGCTTCACAAGAGAAAGATGGGTAATCTAATCCCTTCTGATTTACAGCTTCCATAAACCCACTGGAGGGTCTGCTAAGTGTTGGATCTAACTTGATGGCAGTGAATTTTATAAAATAAGAAACCTTCATCCCTCTTCACATTTGTTCTCAGCAACTTACATTAGTAGCCAGCATTCCCAATAATCTTTCCCCAAACTAAAAAACAAATCTGCTGCCATCAAGTCGATCTCAAGTCAGAGCAACCCACCATCAGGCTTCTGAGGCTGAAAATCTTCATGGAAGGAAATTTATAGCTCATCTTTCTCCTGTAGAACTTTAGGTGGATTTGAACCACTGACCTTTTGGCAACAAGTAATACACTATAACTCTAGAATCCCGTAAAGCATCCCTGAATTCAAATTGAGACATCATTTTGTATCAGATGAAACACACTTTCAAAGGAAGCTATGAAGTATGTCCTGTTCATGTGAAAGACTAAAAGTACACCAGTCTAGGGATGTATGGGTTTAGAGGGAGAGAGGCAGCTTTATTTTCTCTGTGACAATGGTAGGGAAGTATCTTATTTCCAGAAGCTGAGTTCTAGGACACACATGTCTCAACCTGGGATTAGACCTTCCACCTCGATCTCATTATTGTACCTCACATCCAAGTTTCTGGCTCCAGTACTGGACACCCACCTTCCTTCCGACCATAATGGTCTACACTGGTATATGTTCTCCATCTAGCCAGAAAAAGAAGTGAAAAGGTCTGAGCTGCCCTTCTCAAAAAGCTCAGTAGCTGTTTCTCCTCACCAAAGAGAGATTTTGCCCGAGCTTCATCTGAGTACAGTAATTCCTCAGTGAAGCTGCAAGATGGATGTTGAATATTAAAAGACACGCCTCCTCTGTTACACCGCCTGCTTTGTTTTTCCAGTTTTTAAAAATTATCTTTCATCATGCCAGCACATCGAGTCCTTTTTGAACCTGCACTTTCCTAAAGCAATAAGTAAAGGCTGTTGTTTACAATTTCACTCTCTGGCTTTCATATGCCTGCAAAATTGTTTCCTTTTTTTTTCAATTGGATTAACTAAAAATAAACATTAGATGGAGTTCTAATTTCTGTGTATCTTAAGTGACGGGTTCAAACTTAAAGAAAAAGTTGACTTCAAAAGGGAAATGTAGTGCAGACTTTGACAAATTAGAAAATTTTTAAAAAAATTAGAAACTCAATTTTGCACAACAAGCATATAGTGACCCTGTGCACAATAGCTCAGAACCCTGCCCTATCCTGAGCCAACCTCACGGTCTGACACACCTGCCCCCGTTGCCACTGCCACTGTGTCAAATCCATCTCATCCGAGGGCTTCCTCTCCTGCACTGACCCTCTACCCTTCCAAGTATATACTCCTTCAAGGACTGGTCTCTCCTGACAAGTTCAATGCATGTGAGGAAGAGTTTCACAATCCTTGCCTCCAAGGAGCATACAGGTTTCACTTTCTCCAGAGCAGACCTCTTTATTTTCTTACCAGTCCAAGTGATGTTCATTACTCTTCTCTAGCACCACAACTCAAAGGCATCAATTCTTCTCTCATCCGTAGTCCTCAGCCAGCTTTCAGATGCACAGCAAGCAATTGAGAAGATTATAGCTTGTATCAGACACTCCTTAGTCTTCTGACTGACTTTTGCACTTTAACACTCTGGAGAGGTTGCTGACAGCAGATTTTTCCCAAAGTAATCTGTCTTTTTATCCTGGCTGCTGGTACCACAGATGTTGATTGTGAAATCCTTAATAACTTCAATTCTTTCTCTCCATCTATCATGATGCTCCTTATTGGCACTGGCATGATAATGACCTTGATTTTGAGATGAAGTCCATTTTGAAGGCTGTAGTCCTTATCTTCTGCAGTTCAGTACCTTTTATAAATGAACCCTCTCTCATCTTGTTGGTCCAAATGCAAAGATGGGCAGAAACCAGTAAGATAGACTTCGTTAGTAGGTTAACAGTGAGCCCTAGCTGTGCAGTAGTTAAAGGAGTTAAGCTGCTAACAGCCGGCCTGGGTGGCAGTCTGCTCATGTAAAGATTTACAGCCTTGGTAATCGGAGGGGCAGTTCTCTGTACCAAGGGATCACCATAAGCTAGAGCAACTGGAAGGCATTGAATCTTAGTGTAACAGGTTGATATATTTAGCTGCTTAAAGGGAATGAATGGTTTTGCTCAGGGGCAATTAATGTATGGACTTCAGAGGGCCCTCCTGACGGAAAAGACTTGAAAGCAAATTGTGCATCAAGGGTGGTAGGTAACACCTTCTGCTCCTATTAAATATTTTCATTCAAACTTCAAGCAGGACTGTATGATTTTATGAGCTGATTCAATCTACTCTCGATTCATCTAAGTTGGTAGAAACAGGCTGATATTAGAAAATACGAATATTCACTATGTTCGTGTAAGGTCTAGTGATGCCTTAAACTGCTGGTAGAAAGCAGTGGTTATATAACCAGTTGATTTTAAAAATTACACCCTTTACAATTGCATTCAGATAAAACAGATGATCCCTGCAATTCAGATAGAAGGAAGCAGATTAATTCTTTGCTTAAAAGAAAGGGGGGGGGGAAGAACTTATGATGAGAAATCTGTAGCAATCTTCTTAAATAACCAAGTTGGGAGGAAACACAAATCTGGTGACTGTGGGGGCTACAGTACTAATTTATGGTTCTCTGAAAAAGAAGACGGTGCCTGATAGACATCCGTTATCTACGGTTACTTCCTTTGGCTAGGTCGTGAGCAATTAAAGCTAATGGTTCTCCCGAGCAACCCCAAGCGCTAGACCGACCTTTTTTTCAGGCTAAACCTCTCTGTACCCACACTGGCTCTTTAGGGTCAAGGAAGGTTGCGGCCGCCAGATCCCAGAGTCTCCAGCTCTGGTGTGTTTTTGGCAGTTCCTGGGGCCCTAGGCTGAAAATGGCCTTTCAGTGACCCCAGCCCCCAAGCCTCGGGGACCCCTGCCCGCCAATCCAGGCCGCCTGTAAGCAAGCGCGAAGAGTTCGCGTCCTAGGCTTCGGAGAACCCCGCGCCTCCCCTCTCCTGCTCGGTCCCCGCGCCAAGGTCCCGGCTGGGGCCCGCGCCGCGCCTCCAGGACTTTGACGAGTTGGAACAAACGCCGCCGAGGGCAAGGCCATCCCCAGCCACATCCCAGCGCCGGCTCCCGAGCCCCAGCTGGGCCACCAGCGCCGCGCCGCGCCCGGGGAGAAGCAGCTGTTCCCAACAGCTGGGGGGCGGCGGCGCCGGGTGCCCCAGGTGCGGCCGCGACCAATCGCAGGCGTCCGGCCCGCCCCCTCCCCAGCCAGGCGCCGACCCCCGGCCCGCGGGGGAAGGGAGCGCAGAGGTGGAAAGGCGTCCGCCACACTCGTCTTCCAGCTTCCGCGGCGGGAAGGACGGGACTGGAGCTGGAGCCCAAGCCCCGCCGGCCGCCTCCGCGCGTGGACGCTGTCCCCGCTGACCCTACCCACGCCCCGCCCAAGCCACTCCGTTTCTCAGACGGGAACATCTACCTCTCAACGCACCCTTTTCTTCGCTTGAAAACCACCCTCCTTTTCCATTTCGGGCCTCCCCGCCGGGCGAGTGGAAACCGAAAAACCAGCGCCACATCTACTAGACCCGGATCCTAACCCAGACGATCCGGAGAATTTGTACCGTGACCGGCAGGGGGGGCGGCAGGAGAGAGCCAAGTCAGGTCTCCGGGGCTGCTGGCGACTTCGGAAGCCGCGC